AACCTCTTTCAAGTACCCCCTTCATAGCCTTCACCACATCTGTAATCACTGTGCTCTACTTGCTTCACATGTTTCTTTCAAATCACTTACTTTTTGACTTAGACTTATTTTATAAAGCAATATTAGTTCTTTACCATAAATGATGGGGATAGTTCATAAAGTTCACACTCACTGGTTTCCAGTGCTAGTTATATTTTTCTAAAGTACATTAAAATAACTTCATCACAAAACAGTTTTTCTCCTTGTATGACAGAAGATAGAAGTTGGGGCCCTGAAAATGATTTATGCTTGTCCCTCAAAGGCATTTTCTCACTGACATTAGTTGCCACTGTTTAAAGATATAGAGATTTCATATACACAAACGTACAAATACATGCACACACAAGTCCTAGTTTCTGGCTCCTCTTTAAGAATGGAAAAAATATCTGGCTGCCACCAGGCCCACATTCCTGGCAGCTTTCAGCTAGAGCCGAGAGGCAACTGCCCCTTCAATAGAGCTTGTGTTCCTAGTTTGCCACAGACCGACCTTCCCCTGTTGCCTTATGCCTGGGCCACTTCCCTTGTTGCATCATCTGTCTGACCCCATATTGGCATTAAGGTTTGTGACCCCCACGGGCAACCTGAGGTATCTTTCAAACCACACGTATAACCTAGATTGAAAAATCTCGGGGCCTCCAGAGCCTGACCACCAGTTTGCTTGCTAGAGGCTCCTCTGCAGAGCAGGCTGACTACTCCTTCACTGATCTCAGCAGAGCAGTCCTCACTCCATGTTAGGGCTTTTGGAGACACAGGTAGGCAGAAAAGTCATGTTGCTTTGTGTCATGGAAATCTTTAAAAGAGCTGGCGATAGGGGACTCAGAAAGCACATGAAGCCACTCATAAGCCAGAAAAGAAGAGGAGTGATGCCCCTCAAACCCACCACAATAATTGCTACCTCTCCAGCAATTGTGTACCTATGGTGGACTGTCCAGACTTCTCAGTGAAGGCCAGAGTCCCTCCCTGGACAAGGAGCCCCTCTAGAACAGAGACTAAGAGACCATATGCCTGATTCCCCTCTCTCTTCGTAGCACCTTGAAGGATGTCAGAGCCAAGGTAAAGGTTTGCTGAGAGAAGAAACAAAAAACAGGCTAATGTTTTATGAAATAGCAGGACTCAAAACACCAACACAGAAAATCACACAGTGATTCTGTGCATTTGAGTCATCACAGAAGGAACAATGTCAGGACCAGAAGGGGATCTGGTCTGATCACCTCAGTTGCTGGGGGTGAGGGATCCCCTATGCCCAGACAGGCTCTGCACTGACAAGAGCAGGGCGTGGCCTTGGAGAAATGGGAACTGTTCAGGTTTTCAGGCTGCTGGCTTCCTTTTTCTTTGTGGGTTTTAGAGAAAAATCAATCATTTCTGTCATCTCACAACTTCATCCTTGACTTTATGGGTTTCAATGGAGCTGAGACAGCACCATCTATGGTAGAAAACTTTCCTTCAGGAATTCAGTTTTGAAGCTCTGAGAGCTCTGTTGGATGCACTCTGGACCAGACTGGAAAAAAGAAGGAGCTCCCAAGAAGATCCCCAGCCTGGTACTCATGGTATTTCTCTGGATCTTTCTCCCCACCGGTGAGATTCGGGGCAACTGGGGAGAGGGCAACCCCCTAACTCCACAGCATCTTAGCATCCTGGATGTCACTCTTGGAAATCACAGACCCACATCAGCACCACCAAGGTCCTGGGCTCTCAGAGAGAGGAATAGCTTTGTCAAGGTCACACTGAGTTTGTGGTAGAGCTGGCACAGGAGCTAAAATCTCTCAACTGCAAGTCTGGGCTCTGTTCCCCACACTCAATAGCTCAAACTCTGCGCAAACGGGAGGCTGGGATTTTCCTCCTGGGAAGCCCTGAGGTGGACCAGTGCCAACCTTGAGGATGGGCTTGCAAGGAAGTGACATTTGTGAAGGCCTAACAGGACAATTCACTGTGTGGTGCTTCACATGGTGAAGGGAGTGATGGAAATGACTCTGGGCTTAGAAGAATCTGCAGCAGCCAGAGTGTTGGCATAGCCTCCTCTCCCTGGGCTTAGGACGCCTGCCCACTCTGGAGAGAAGAGAGGGTGATAGAGCGATCCATTCAGCCCCATTAGCATCCCTCCTGTCTGATAACCCCTATGGAGACTTGGTGAAAGGAGAGACCGGATCTTCAGGAAAGGCACATGCAGAGCCCCCAGTATCCCCACCCAACCCAGACCCCTAGCCTCCCACAGGCACCAGCCCCTCACCTGTTGATGGAACTGACGCTGGGCACCGTGTCATTGTCACACACCCGTTCCGCCAGCAGCCGGTCCCTGATCTCCCAGGCAAACATGGTGGGATTTTGGCGTTTATACTCAGCGATTTTTTCCACCACTTTAGGTGTGGCAACCTTTGGTTTGGATCCTCCAATTACCCCAGGCTTGATGCTCCCCGTCTCATAATACCTAGGACCCAAGGAGAGAGGAGCTTAGCCATGAGAGACCTGGAAAATGGGTGTTGGTAACAAAATAATGGATTATTCTGTCCAGGAAACGTCCAGACCTGTGCTGTCCAGTACGTACCCACTAGCCATATGTGGCTTTTGAACATTTAAAATGTGGCTTGTTTGAATTGAGTTGTGCTATAAGTATCAGATACACACCAGGTTTTCAAAACTTAGTTCAAAAAAAAGTAAAAATCTCATTAATGATTTTTCTATTGGTTACATATTGAAATGATCATCTTTTTAATATATTGGGTTAAATAAGCTATAGAATTAAAATTAGTTGTACCTGTTTCTTTTTCCTTTTCTAATGTACTATATTACTAGAAAATTTTAAATGTCATGCATGGCTCACATTACATTTCTATTGGACAGTGCTGGTCGGAATGCTCTGCATTAATTAATTAATTAATTAGTTAGTTAGTTAATTAATTCTGTCACATTTATCTACCATTGACAGTTTACAGAAATCTTTCAAGTTGGTTTTCCCCTTTGATCCCCACAACACTTCTAAAGCACATAATTTTGAATTTCTAATTTCTAAAGCACAAAATTCAGTTTTGAATGACTGAATGAGTGAACAAATAAACAAATAGGTCTCCATCTACAGATATAAACAGAGATCCATAGAGGTTAAATGGCTTGCCCGGGGTCACTCAAGACCCAGTGGCCAAACTAGGACTGTGGCCCAGCCTCCTGAGCTACAATTTCCCCAGAAAGCTGCCCTGTGCCTTTAATTTGCCAGCTCTCCCATCCCCTAGCAGACTCTTTCTGTGAAACTGTCCCCCAAAGTGCAACTTCTTTTTCCATAAGAGATAAATAAGAACGCTGGTGTAAAATTAAAAAGTGTTGGATTCCAGAATTAACTAGAAATATGAGTTACGTATAAGTCAAAACCCAAGCAATCAGAAAAACAAACAAACAGAAACACCCAACCACAAGTCACCGCAGCTCTTCCAGGGACCGCCCCTGAGGTAAATCACTGTTGCCAAGGGCATTTCCATGCTATCAGCTCTTCCTCGTTAATGCAAATAGGATGTCAGAGTTTTACAGTAAAACCGAGACCAGGGAAAAGAGTGCCATGAAAGAATATTTCAGGGGAAAAAATTACTTGATTCCTTTTCTGAATCTGAGCCTTCACTGGACGTCTCTCTCAACATTTACAGAGGAATTCTTGACTTCCTCTTGCAAAGATTATCTTGCAGTTGAAAAAAATTTTTAATGAAAAAGACATTTTAGAAATTGCTGGAAAATTTTAAACCTAACAAGAGTTTATAATAGGTAAGGGAAAGCGGTGATTCTCCCATGTGATGGGTGGGAAAGGTAACCCAGAACAATGACTGGTTACATTTAAAGAGATGCTTCTCAGCTTGGGTAAGTCTGGTTAGGGCCAAGTTAGTGAACATTCTAGAAACAGACGAAATAATTTGGGACCAGTGATGTGGAGGCGCAAATTCTGTTTTTCACTAAGAAGAGTGAGTCATGTACAAATTTGGACCATAAAGCAAAACTCAATCTGTGCTCTTTCATTCTCTAATTGCTAAAAATTTGTTATTAGTCACTAATAGGTTTTAGAAATATGCAAGAAAATACGTTTTTGCCAAAAGTCTAAAACAAGTATCTAAATCAAAGCACACAGCAATCTCTGCAGATGTGGCAGACCCTTTCAAATTTACAACAGAAAAATATCTGTTACTATCAACACAACAACTCATTATTTAGCCAGAGTGCCTTAAAGTTTACAGAGTCTTCCTTGAATTATCTTCATCCTCACACCAATCCTGAGAGGCCAGTATGGTTTTATAGAAGGGAAAACTGATGATCAGAAGATCAAGTACCTTGCCCAACTCCCTTCTGCAACTGAGAAGCAGTCCTGGGCTTTCAAACCTGACTCTGAATCCAGTGCTCTTTGCACTAGAACAAACTGCTGCTTTAGTTGTAAAAATTAAAATAATACTAATACTAATACTAATGATCCCATGCAATTGTAGAGAGTTCTACTGTTTACCAGGCATTTCCATATGCATCTTGTCACTCATTCACTCACTTAATCAACAGTCACAGAGGGTCTGTTAGGACAAGGCACTATCTTGGGGCGGGGGTTCAGACACACAGACAACCCTGAGCTCAAATATGTTAGCTGAATGGGACTGCAGTATTCATGCAGAAACTCTGAGAGGGTGGCAGGATGAAACCTCACCCCCCAGCACTTGTCCTGCTTGCATGGCTGTGGATGGCAGTGCCCATGGCTCTCCATCCATCCCACCTTAACACGGCCAACCATAGGAGGCTTCGGTCTTGACACAAGAGGTCTCTGTCTTCCTTTTGACTGACACATGGGCCAGGCACTTAGAAGGTAGCCCTGTCACTCCAGAAAACCCCAACTGGCAACTGTGTCAGACTAAATAACCACCCTTTCATCTCAGCAAAACAGCCACGCAGCACTTTGGCTTATACACAGCAAGACGAACAATAGCCACTAACACACAGTGCAGTTCGGCGCAGAGAACATTAGTTTGAGAGTAAAGAGGTGTAGGTGCCAGTCAGTGGCTCTAATACTAACTCGCTGTGTGACCTTGACCAGCTCAACCGCTCTGGGCCTCAGTTATCCCATTTATATAATAAGGGGAGGATGTTCGCCCTGCCTACCTTGCAGGGCTGTTGTGAAGACAGAAATGCAGAACGGTTAAGAAAAAGCTTTGTAAAACGTAAAGAGCACGTGTTGCAGATTAAAATCCTCTGAGTGTTTACTACTGTGTAACATACGACCCAATTCCAAATGGCCTGAACCTCCCAGCCAGGCTCCAGTGAAAGAAGACAACAGCCCAGCTTTCTGGGTGGATTTAAATTGGTCTCACATGCCACCGGGCTGTACCCCTCGAGCCCCTCCAGAGCCTTGAGCTCTGTGGACTGAATGCCCATACTCCTGGCAGATCGCCACCTTTCCGAGATGACTCTGCCTGCCCCAGGGACTCTGCCTGCCTTGCCATACAGCCTCTGAAAGCCACAGCCACCACACACCACACGCTCTCGCCAATCTGTCACCCTGTGTGTGTCCATCAAATTCTTTGGTGACCAAAAAAAAAAAAAAAATCAGTGGATGGAACAACCCCAGTTAAGAAATTCCCAGTCACACTGTTTTAGGGCTGAACTTGTTTCTTAAAAGGCAGTTCTAATTAGAGTGACATTTTGTCCACTGTGGTTCTTAGTTATGAAAATAATGAGCTATGAAATTCCAATTTATTGTTGACAACTTAAACGGCCAGGCCCCGGAGTGGCGCGTAACTTCCGAGTGCCACTCCACCTAGTGACAAATCTATTCCGGGCCGCGGGAGGCTGCCGGCTGGGCTTGGGAGGGTCACTGTCTCTCTCCTTCAGTCCTCCAGGGAAGACGTGGAAGGCTCCCGGGCACCAGAACATGAGGACTCGGCATCTGGATGTCCCCTCTGAGAAGGGCTCAGCATCTTGCCCTGAGAAGATTTCAAATAGCAAGCAAAATGTCGGCTCAGCAAAGACATCTCGGCAAAAACAAAGGAAGGGCCTCTTTTTTCTCTTTCTCTCTACCTCCGTACAATGAGAAGGCTTCACAAGAAGATATCTAAGATTCACTCAGAGATGGTCTAAAATATTTTTCTTTTCTCTCTCTTTCTATCTTGTCTTCATTTCTCTTTCTGTTTCTCTCTGTTTTTAAATCAGTCCATTTCTTTTCTGTTTTGTTTTTTCTTTCTCTTCTCTTTATCTCCCTTTCCGCTAGTATTTTTCTTTTTCCTTCGACTTTCACTCTCATCCCCCTGCCTAAAATCACCATCTAACAAAAACACCACGCTGATGTCCTGACCTTCTCCTTGAACTCGGGCTGGGGCTCGTTTGCTGCTGAGTGCTAAACAGGAGTGGAGCGCACAGCCTCCATGGCTAGAGTGACCTGGTTCGGGCAGGGGCATAAGGAATAAACAGGGGGATATGGTCTCTAAAGGGGCTGCCATACCCCTGGCCCTGAAACCTCTTCTCTCGGCCTCCAGCAAGTCTCCTCAAGGTTAAATACTGTTGTTCCCTCCATCTGAGAGGATGTCTTAAATTCCAGCCGATGGAAGAGAAAGAGTAAGCAGAAAATCACGATGGCACTGACATACTTCAAAATATTTATTTTCTATTCAGGCGCCTGTTCTCAAACCATAACGCAAGCTACAGGCCAAAGGTTGTTTTCTGACCTGGCAAGAGAAATCCTGAGAGAGCATTGACAGCTAAACCCGAGAATGTTCCTGGCTGCCAGGGCAGACCTATAACAACTTCACATGCCTGGAAACACACTTGCAGCTTTGGTTTGTGAGTACAGCGAGATGCAGATGGTCTTGGAGTTCTTAAGGCCTCTTCCCAGCCTGAGTGCTGGCTGACTGGCTAGATGGACCTGAGTCAGTCACTTCACCCTGTAGATTTGTCTCCTCATCTCAAAACAAGCTTCCCTGGACCATCTCACCAGAGAAAAAAAACAGGCGCATTAAGAGGCTGCAGAGCCCTCTGGGAGAATTGGCATTGTTAGTATTTTGCTTGCAGCAAATCGCCGGGTCAAGTGGCACCTTTCAAATGTCAGATTTGAGAGTTAGTGTTTGTTTGGGGTGTGTTTTTTTTCCCTTCTCTAATTTCATATATATTTAGGATGCCTGTCACTATGAAGGAAACAAAACATACAGAAGGAAAACACTACAGCCCAAAATAATAAGGTAGATGATAACCCAAAACTGAAAATGACAGCTGACTTTTAAAAATGGAATGTGCTTTTTGAAAACATTAAAATGAAACATTGAAGTCTGGTTATGTGATTTTATAACTTGTAGATTTTCCACCCAGCCCTGCTCAGGCCCTGAGCTCACCAAAGATGTGTAAGGGAAATTCCCAAGAACCTCTTACTCGTGGGTTCTTTGGAATAATTCACCAGGCTTTCAGAAAACACGTCACCCTCTTATCTGAGTCACCCCATTCCACAACAGGGGTTTCCTGGGGCTACTTTGAATTGAATGGCCTCAAAAGGGCTTTGCAAACTCCAAAGTGCTAGGCATGTTGAGAGAAGTGCCACCATGATTCTCACTATGACACTGCCACGTTGGACAGCTTCTGGGTCATGTTTTAGGTCATTATTTGAAAAATCAAGGGAAGCCTGAAGCGTCTGCCTTTACCTGCCAAGGATTTTGCTGACACAACCATGGCTGACTCGAAGCTGCCTGGAGATGTCGCAGGGCCTGACACCTTGATGAGCAAGTTCCACTATCCTTTGGCGGACTACATCTGGGAGTGGCCGTCCATTCACAAAAACCCCCCCAAGCTGATTCACTCCTCCATGTCCTGAAACAGATCAGAAACAAAAGGCAAGAGAAAGGGTGGTTAGAACCAGTCACACAGGAGTAGAAACACTGCTTTGCGCACCCAGAGTCCCTCTGATCAGAAATGGCTGCGGGCTGGCTATCTCGAGCCTGGGGTCTGATCACGCAAAATACATGAACACCTCAGATTGCTTTTTAAAATTAACCTTAGCCTTTGTCCTTCTTCAGCCAGTCAATTGGGCTATTGATAGCAAGCATCTCCATACTATGTTTCCTTTAGTTACTAGCATTTTCTTTATAGTTTTTTTAAACAATGGAATATATGAAGACCTCAAACTATACCAGGGACAGAACTTATTATATACATGATGCTGAGGTCTAAGATAGATCCTAGGGAGAAAATACATTTCAAAATGCATAAAATTTAAAGAGATTTTTAAAAATGAAACTCTTTCCTTTTAACAAATATCTTTAAAAGTGAAAAGGACTGCTCTAATAAAGCTAGATCTCAGGGGGGGGGAATATTTTTTAAATCAGCAATCTGATTCAAGGGCTAAGGACTTTGAAAAACATTTTTTTAATAGTATCTGCAGATTACTGAGACAAAACCCAACCATTGCCATGATAAAAACCCTTTCTTTAAGAAGATGCAACTCATACCTCAATAAAGATGGGAAAAAAAATAAACAAACAAAAAAGGTGAGGCTGACATGCAGACTTGACCACTGTACCCTCTTAGAGCACACGAAAGAAATGGGTCAAAGGATCACATTTCACTCTAGTGTATCAGGATTTGTTATAAAGGAGTTTCCCTGGAATTTTTGGAGTGTTTTGCAATCAACAAGCAGCTTTAAGTTGGTTCAGGGGAAATAAAGAAGCTGGAGGCGGCTTCTGAGTCCCAGGTTTTACAAGGGCTCTGGGATGGATTTTAAGTAAAAAGAGCTCGGGAAAGTATCTCCTGCACCCAATAAGCTCCCTTCTCTTACATCAAGGTCCATCTGGAGAGAAACAGGGATCTAAGTAAATGAAGAGCCAAACCAGTAAACACAGAGTGATCCAGTGTAGCAACATCATTGACCTTGTAGCTGTTAATCAGCCACTAACTGACATCACTGAGGACTGTCAAAAGCCAGAAGCCAAGTCCAAGCATTCACCAATGCTGCTGGCAGCTCAGAGGTCAAGGAGGGGGAAATCTCCTCCTAAACTGGGACTTGACAGGGACTTGACTGTACCAGGGAAGCCAGGGCATCTCAGAGGTCACACACACACACACACACTCCAACTCTAAAACATCAGATAGCCACCTCATCTCAGCTATTCCCCCCCAGCACTCAACTACTATCCATGTTCATGAACAGTATCTGAAATAGAGGGGGAAACACTACCCATAACATAAGCTATTTCCTAAAAACTGTCAAAGCTATTCACTGAAGTTTACCATGAGAGTCCAAATTGAATATTTCCCCAAATTTTCAAGTTCAGGTTGATTTCAAGGGGAAAAAAAAAACATTTTATAGGTGACGACAGTACTTAATTCTAGTTCTAAGCTGAATTTCTTTTTTGGTTTTCAAAATGAGCTTTAAACAGTTTTAATTGTTCTAAAATACTCCAGACATAAGAAAAAGGAAAACCATCTTGAATAGAATTTTACAGTTAAGAACACAATTGCATAGATCATCTAAAACAAAAAGACTGCAGCCACCCCTAGTCAAGGGGCTTAAGAAAGCTTTGTTCTGGGGTTGGGAGCACCTAATAAAAAAGAGTTACATGGATCTTTCAATAATAGGCTGGATTTAAGAGGCAAGTAAATTGGAAATTGGTACAAGCTTATCTGAGAGAACAGAATGGAAGCTAAAAGCACCTAGCACACTTTGGAGATAACCTACTAGTCCAGGAATTGGAGCCATCTGTAATGGCCTGCTCCCTATACTACTGGCAATTGAAATTTTCTGCCCAAAACACAGTGGCAAACTTCAGAGGACTTAAATTCCAAAAGCAGTCCTGCAGGACATTTGTGAGCTTTGCGGACTGTTTGTATCATGGAAAAAAACCTAAGGGTCAGACACTCTAGGTGACAGCAGGTCCCCACACCCTCTAGTCTTGACCTCAAAGGCCAGGCTACCAATGCTCTTGCAGAGTCTGATCCACATATCCACAGCTGACACCAGACCCAGGATGACCTGGGGACCCCCTACGTCCCTCAACTTCCTGGAAAGGCCCCCAAACCCACTTGGCCCTCTGCCTCTCTCCCAGTCCTATCTATTAGAGCATGTCAAGGGTGGTGGGTTGGTGATTTAAAACTGAAGTCTGAGAAGTCAATGTCTCTCACTTACCCCAAGACTGGAAAGAAGTGAAACCAGAAACCCGAGAGAAGTGAGGCAAGAGGACGGGGAAAGAAATCAGGAAAAGAGATGTGAGGGCAAGTGTACAAAGAGCGGGAACTCAATGAAATGAGACACACAGCAAGGAGAGAGAGCCTGGAAGGGAAGCCTCAGGTTAGAAATGAAGAGGAGGAGAAAAAGGAATGGATTGGCCAGAATGGGGGGGGGGGGG